CCTCCTCCTCCTCCTCCTCCTCCTCCTCCTCCTCCTCCTCCTCCTCCCCCTCCTCGGGCGAGGAGGGCGGCGGGGGCGGCCGCCGAAGAAGGCTCCCCCCACCCTGGTTGCCGCCTCCCCGGATGCCCACTCCTTGGGGGAGCCTCTCGGGCGAGGCGATCCCTCGAGAAGGCCCCCTCTCCCTCCGCCTTGTGAGGCTTTGGCCGGGCAGGCTCCCCTACAGGAGGGATTTTCAAACTTAGCCCCCCCCCCCCCAAAAAAAAACAGGGAACGATTATATTTCCATGTATTGGGACTAGTTCTGCATGTTCTGACACTTGTTCACATTTCTTCCAAAGCCCGCCTGTAGGAGGACATGCCCGACCCGATGTGGATCTGCTGCCCACCCCCAAGCCCGCTCAGAATCGTGGCCCAGACCCATTCCGGGGCCCATGCTGGCCGCTTTCCCGAGCCGCGCGCTCAGCTGTGGCGACCACGACCTCCCAGGGACGCCCGACGGCCGCGGTCAACGGCGTCGTGGTCGACAAGACCGCGACGTCGGCGCCCTCGCCGCTGCGCCGCCGAAGGCAGCAGGACGCCACCATCCGGATCCTGCAGGCCCGGGTCGACACGATGTCGAGCCCGCCGCCGCCTCCGCCGAGCTGGGGCGGCCGCCCGGATGCCCCTGGGACATGGGACCGGGCGTGGAAAGGATCGGGGGTGGCTAAGATCAAACGACGCGAAGATCGGGACAAAATCGGATCGGGATAATTCGAAATCTCGGAGAATCGGCGGGTTTGGAGGATGTATTGGGCGCCGCGGCCGCTCCAGAGCGTTCCGGAACGCTCTGAGAGCGCTCCAGAACGCTCTGGAGCGATTTATCCAGATCCTAGCCCTTTTTTATAAGATCGGTGACTACAAATCACCACCCACCAAACCACCCCAACCCAACCCGAAGGCTCAGATCTGCCCTCGATTTCCAGAGGGGGGCGGGGTCGGGAAGCATCGAACAGAACACATGTGCAACCCTTACCCCCCCCCAACCCGAAATTCGTGTCGTCGGGTTGGGTTGGGGTGGTCTGGTAGGTAGTCAACAAAGGGTGTTGCTACGTCGGGGTGTGGTTTGCGATCTGCTTCGGCCGGGGCTTCGGGGCACCGCGTTAAGCCCTCGTCGGGCCGCCTCGGGGCGCGGAGGAGAGCTCTTGCCGAGGCCCTCGCTCGGCCCCCCCAGGGGTGCGCGTTGCCAACCGCACCCTTTGCAAACCGCAGCCTTCGGAGTCGCCGACGATACAGCCAGGACGCCGAACTAAGGAACAGTTTGGACTCGGAAGGGGCTCGATGTTCCTTACGTCCTTCCGTGGCTGTTCCTCTAGCCCTTCTCGTGCACCCAGGCTTCTTTGAAGCCCCAGAGGGGCTTCGCTCCCTATGTAGCATTCCTTATCTCAGCAGCCCGACTGTAGTACTGAGCTGTATCCAGCTGCCCGCGGCAGGTCCCGCCGCCGCGCCGGCTCGCGTCCGAGGCGGGGGTTTCTCACAGCCGCGCCGCCCGGGCGATCGACCCTCGGGGGCCTCGCAGGGCGGCAGAGCGGAAACTGCTCGGGCCCCTTGGGGCGGGAGTGCATGCATATCTCAGCGAGCGAAGAACGGTATAACATAAACTTTCCGCCGTCGGAGACGCCTGCCCCTGGGCGGCTGGAAAGTTTATACCCCTACGGTGCCACCGTGAGGGTATAAACTTTCCAGCCGCCCTGGGGCAGGCGCCCCCGACAGCGAAGAAGTTTATTTCACACCGTTCTTCGCCCGTTAAACGTCGGTCTCACAGCCGGTAGATGTGGACATGCCCCCCCTCGCGCACCAGGAGTGCTGGGCGGCGCCTGGTCGATGGGGCCCGGGAGGCCGTCGCGTGTGACCCTGTCGCGTCCCCGAGCTCGTGAGAGCCGCGATTCGGACCGAGCGACAGGGGGGGATAGGGAAAGGGGGGGGGTACGAAATTTGCTGCATGCAGCTGGTTTCGGCCTCACCGAGGGGCCCATTCCTCGATACATAGCTGCCTCCGGCGCCGGGAGGCGCCTGGAAAATCAGCTACGTGAGCTGATTCTCACCCCCCCCCTTTGCTATCCCCCCCTTTCGCCCGACCCGAGTGATGAGGATGACAAGGCGGGGGAGGATGATCAGGAGGGCGACGAAGAGGAGGAAGATGACCGTCACGTACATATGGCACATGTTGCCTTCACTTCTTGAAGAACTCTCATGGAGCTCATTTAGGTCGTCTTGGGCTCGTATGGGGTACTCTTGGACGTCCCAAGGGGCCGTCTTGAGGCCCTCTGGGGTCGCATTCGGGCAATATTAGGCCGTATTGGGTCCGTCTTGGCCATATGGGAGGTGTCTTGGGGCCGTCGTGGGGCCGTCCTGGCGCCGTCTTGTGCGGTCGCGAAGAGCCTTTGAGGCCGTTCGGGGTCTCTCCAGAGGATCTCCTGTGCCGTCTTGTCAGCCCCCCCCACCAAACAGGGACTTTGGTACGGTAGGTTCGTGTCGTGTCGACGCGGCCGCGACCCCGCCGCGGGCGTTCAAGGTTGAAAGCCGCCAGTGGCCCAGACTCGACCAATGTGGAACGGTCGGGCGATCGAAGTAGCGCCGATGGTCCAAGGTTGAACGACCCACGCGGTGTCGGAAGCCAGCGCCAGGGTCGCCACGACACGAGCGTGCCGCGAGCCAGGATCCTGGCGTTAAGTCGGGCCTGCCCCCCTACAGTGGGGTTTTCGACGGATTTTGTTTTACAGAAAAACAAAGAAATACACCAAAAAGGTAAAACAAATACAGACAAAAATAGTCCCCAGACTATTTCTGGACTATTTGCTGATCATTTTTGGGGTATCTTTTATTTCTCGTCGAAAATCCCCCTGTAGGGGGGACAGGCCCGACTTCCTCCTGGCGCGCCCGCGGGCGCTGCAGCCGTGGGTGCCGTGAGCAGTCGCCGTCGCAGCCGCTCTCCCGCGGGCGGGCTTTTGCCACGGTGCCGGCCGCCGGGCTCCTCCTGGCCGGGAGGGCCCGGACCTCGGGGCCGTCGCCGTGGGCCCCTGGCGGGACCTCGCGGGCCGTCCTCGGGCCCCTCTCGGGGTCCTCTTCTCGACTAGGCGTAAGAGTGACCTTTCGCTGGAGTGACCTCTGGTGCGGGCAGAGATGGGTCCCCGGATGGCGGAAAACGAAGCAGGAGCAACGGCTTGCGCGCCTAGGTTTGGCCCCCACGCGGCTCCCAAAAAGCCGCGCACCAAAGGTCACTCTTACCCAGGGTCACTCTTGCGTGTAGCCGATCTTCTGGGACCGGCTCGGCGCCATCCCGGAGGCTCCTTCTTGGCCGTCGCGAGCGGGCGAGAAAGCCCGAAGAGGCGAGGCTGCGAGGCCTCGTCACGCATCCCCGGGGGTCGTCCATGGGTTTGGTTGGCTGCTTCGGGCCCCGTTGGAGGCCCTTTTGTGGTCCTCTTGGGCCTTCTTGGAGGTACGCTGGACCGTCTTGAGACCATCTTGGGCCACCTTGGGGCCACCTTACCCCGTCGTTGAGGCGTCGTGGGCCTTCTCGGCAGCCTTGGTTGCCTGCCAGAGCCGTCTTGGAGCACGGAACCATTTTGTTGCATGAGGGGTCCTGGCCTCGGGAGCGCCAGCCGATTGGTTGTTCCACGAGGGATCATGGCCTCGGGAGGGCGGTGGTGCACGCGACGAAGCGTGCTAAGGAGGGAGGGGGGCCCTTAGGAGAGTACAGAACCCTGCCACCCACCCCGTGGCATTCTGGCACGCCTCAGCGTGCCAAATGGTACGGTGGCGGATTCAGGGAGATCACGCTCCCCCTGGAGGAGGGGGTGGGGCGAGGAGGAGGATTGGGGAGACAGGTGGGGGGAGGATGGATTTGGAGGAGGAAGGGGGAGGAAGAGGGGTCGGGGGGAAGATGAGGTGCAGGGGATGAAGCAGTAGGGGAGGAAGATGATGGGAAGGAGGAAGAGGAGGAAAGGAGGAAAGAGGGCGGGAGGCATGATACGAGGAGAAGCAGGAGAGACGGAGCCTTCGTACCTCCTGCTCAGTCCTTCTCCTCCCCGATCCTGCTCCTCCTCCTTCCTCCTCCGCTGAGGGGGGAGAAGGACGAGTGGGAAGAGGAAGTGGGAGGATGAGGGAGGCCGGATCTCAGCATCACCGCGGCTTGAGTCGCCCCGGAAGGAGGCGCGGTGGACGCCGTGAGGGGCCGGGACCGGTCGCAGAGGGTCCAGAAGCGAGGCGCTTCCCCTGCGCCCTCCCAGCTGGTCCTGGCAGGCGGGGCACCGACTTATTGCATTACGCTAGGGTGTAGAGACGGCGAGTGTACAGTGTGCTACTGTACACCTCGACGGGTTCAAGCCTCACCGGCGACAGTGTAAGGGGCGGTCCTTCAAATGTGCATCACGTGCGATTGCGACATGGGACATGGGGGTGCTCATAAAGTATACAGCACCACGTGGGAACCATACTTTTGAGATCGCGCGCGCCAATCCAACGAAAGTTGAAGCAGTACCATGATTTGGCGATACACGAAGGGAGGCGTCCATCCACGATGAGGGTGCGTCGAAGTAGCCAACCCGCCCAGGGGTGCACGTATACACCCGAGTGCCCATGTTTGTTCTGAGCGGCCAGCTTCCTTTCTGGTGGGAGCCCGGGGATGAGGTGCGAGACGTCGCCTGCGTCATTCCTCTCCCGCCCCTGCTCAGCCCTCTCTGAGAGGGGCCTGAAGGCGTGACTTGGCGCTCCTCGTGATCGCCTCATCGTGATCGCCAGTCCTCTCCCGCCCCTGCTCGGCCTTCAGGATGGGCCATCTCTCGAGGGGGGTCACGATAGCGATGCGCTCCCCGGCTTCCAGGCCTTCCTGCCGCCCCCGCGCAGCCAGGCGCGAGGGGCCGAGCACGAAGGCCCGAGGGCAGCCAGAAGCTCCGGAAGTCCTGGCACGCACCCTGAGCCAATCGTACCTAGTCTTGAGTCGGGCGTGTCCCCCTACAGGGGGATGTTCGACGAAAAATAAAAAATATCCCCAAATAGTTAAAAAATAATCCAAAAATAGTACGGGGACTACTTTTTAAAGTATTTTTTGACCTTTTTGGAGCATTTTTGGGATTTTTTCATTTTCGTAGAAAATCCCCCTGTAGGGGGACAGGCTCGACTTTAACTAAGTCTCCCGCAGTTGCGGATCATAGAGAGGGGTGCGCAAGCGGTGCGTGGGCGCGTGTCCTTCACCAGCGTCCACCCCCAGTGTCCAGCCCCAGTGCTCGTCCGCAGTGCCCATCCACGGTGCCGACCCCCAGTGTCCATCTCCAGTGCCCATCCTCGGTGTCCATCCCAGAGGCGGACCATCCTGAACCACGAGCGCACGCTGCGGGGGATACATGTGTATACCTATACCTATGTATGTATGTATATATATATGTATATATATATGTATGTATATATAAATGTGTATATATATATATGTCTATTCACATGCATATATATATATATATATATGCATACATATATGTATACACATATACACATACGCACATAGACATCTATCCGCGTTTGGGCAACGCCCTTGTTTTCTTTTTTTGCTTCTCTCTCTCTCTTTCCCTCTCTCTCTCTTTCTCTGATAGCGACACTCGCCTCCTCGGCCGATGCTATGACATCCCAGGTCGAGGACCCCAGCGCCGGGGCCGCCGCCCATGCAGGCGCCGCCCCCGGCTCCCAGGCACCGGCCGCCGCAGCTCGCGGGCGCCTCGGCGGTGGTGTGGGCGCATGCCTCTCTGCACCGACCCCCTCCCTGGTCCTCCCTCCATCACTCCGCACCTCCGCCAGGGGGGGGGGGGGAGGAGAGGGAGGAGGAGAGGGAGGGGAAGGGTGGGGAGGAGAGGGAGGAGAGTGGGAGAGGAGAGGGAGGAGAGGGAGGTGGAGGAAGGGGGG